GCCGAGTTTATAACTTGTCCTGTATTACTGATTACCCATATTGTGGATTTTCCTGATTTTTTCCTCATGATCAGTCAGGTAAAACGATTGTGACAAAAATACCACATAGGTAATGGTGCATCCCTCTGGGAAACACAATCCCACTCTTTGTGATACAGTACCATGTTTAATGGGAGCTCTTGTAGCCTAGTACCTAAGGCACTTGACTGCGAACCAGAAGGCTGGTGGTTCAAAACCACCAGCCACTCCTCTGAAGAAAGATGGGGCAGTAGTGATACTGCATCGGAAACCCAAGGAGGGGTCGCTATGAGTCCATTCTGACTGAACAGCACATAGCAACAACAACAACCAGGTTTAATCATTTGGTTAAGGTGGTAACTACCAGATGTTTCCAATGCAAAGATATACTTTTTCTTTTGTAATAAGTAACTTGTGGAGCTGCTTTGAGCCCATGGATATATTCTGTTCCCCAATAACCTATCACCCAGTGTCTTTTATCATCTATTCATGATGCCTGCCTGAATCACAAAATTACCAATTACCAGTACCAGTCCAAAAAGGACCAAGAGCAATTATCAGAAGAATAACTGATTAGGAACCAACTTTGAGCACAATTAGATTTGGCTTCAGAACAAATACAGATCTTCATATGATTTTTTTAAAAAATGGGAAGGGCATCTCTTTATCACATCTGGTTATTTTTCTCAATATTCAGAAATTTCTACAGATTGTCCTTATATAATGATGTTCACTTAATTTTTTTTAGGGTCCTTGCTAACTCTTGTTCTTCCCCAGGAATTGGCTTTCCTTTTTGAGAAGGAGATTAAAATAATAAATGGAAGGCTATTCTCAACAACAAAGTAAATAAACTTTCAAAGTAATAATAAATATTTAGAGAAGAAACTAGGTGCCATGTACAAGAGAATATAATAGTTAAGTTAATGTGAGAAAAGTGTAATGGTAGGCAGAAAAAAAAAACTTGGAGTTGCCGGTAAAAAGCTCAAAAGAGCTTAAAACATGTATTTGGCTATTTTTACATAATGTTACTCATTATAATGGCTTTTTAGAAACATTTTATGGGTCTTGTGATACAGAGGGAAAAACTGCATTTTAAAGTTCAAACACCTTGGTTGGACCCCACCTGTCCCAATTATTAATTTATGAAAGTGACCCTGGCGTAAATTTCTTAATATTCCTGAACCGTTCCTCCTAAGAATATTAGGAAAACTAAGAGAAGTGTAATGCATACTTAATTATCTGGAAATACAAGTATAGCATGATATTAAGTAATTTTTTAAAAATAATGACACTTTTAACCTCAGATTGAGAAAACTAATTTCACTTATTGGAAAGGAAGAGGCTTAAAAAATGATTTAGCCAACAGAAGTTTGGATTTCAGCACACAGACCTTTAGAGTATTTCAGCGCATAGACCTTTAGAGTATAAAGGGGTCTCAGCAGTCATCTTATATTCAACCCCCTTGTTTTACAGCTAAGAACTCAGGCCTCACTGGACACATTCAAGAGAAGGTTGGACAACCACTATTCCAAAACAGAAAAGAAACTCATGCATCAGAAAAGGTTTGAGCTTGATGACTCTTAACATAACCCTTTACTCTTACATCCCTAGGTTTTTTATGATATATTTTCTCTGTCACAAAATAACTCAGTGTTGATATGATTGTTCCCAAAACCTAAGCTGGCGATTCTAGAATTCATCCCCCCTTCCTTCACTCCCCAGGTTTCAGGGAAATGACCAGGAGTAACCCAACTGAATATTCGTTTCCACCATAACAAACATTTGCTGTAATGTGGGAAATTGGGACCAAATAAAAGAGCAGCCACATTGCTGATACCTGTTCTCACCATCAGGTATTTTGTGTGGTTGTTGGACTCTGCTATTCAGCATAAATAATTGCAAATTAGAATACTGAAGGACATAGAAGATCTTAAACTGGCAAGTAAATATGTAGATTATTCACTCATCTCTAGTATTTTCTAGGAACAATTGCTTATAATTTTATCAATCATGATATTGCTAACTATTGAAAAGAGCTTTGGAAATTTAGGCAGACTTAAGAAAATTGCTGTTAGCTCAAGTTTAATTGTAGGTCTGAGAAAATACCTGAAAAAATAAAATATGTAAATAGAGAAATATAAGGAAATTAATCATAATCTAAAATATTAGTTTCTGAGGAGTTGATAATTGATTATATTACTTGGATAATAACAGCCACTCCTCGGAAGGAAGGTTGGGCAATCCTGCTTCCGTAGTGATACTGCCTTGGAAACCCAAGGAGGGGTCGCTATGAGTCGGGGACGACTCGACAGCAAATAACAACAACAACAACAACTTGGATAATATGTAAACTTCATTATTTTTTTAAAGGAAATGTAATGTTCAAGTAATGAATATTAAAATACCAATTCTAAGAATATAATTTTAAATGAGAATTCATACAACGCCAATTGGGGGCACTCCTCATCTGTGTTTTGTCAAGACATTCCAATAATAACCATCTTTTTCACCATGAGTTTTACACTGAGAAGGAGTTGGTGATACTGTCAGCACAATGTTCTAGTCCCTGAAACTTAAATAACTTTTAAAGATTTCACCCTTCCTGCCTTTCTGACTTCTGATTGAGAAAGTCAGTAAATATGAAATTTTTATCTTAAAAAAATAAATTCCCATGAAACATAGAAGTTCATTTTACCAGTGATCTTTTCACAATGTTTTCTGAATGGGAAGCCTAAATAACTCTAGTTGTAAACATTTACTATGCTGCATCTTCTCCCTTGGTGGAGAATTAGAAAGCTGTACAACCTCTTTTTTTCTCTTGTTAATTTTTTTTTTATTATTAAGTTTTTTATTTTGAGATTATTATAGATTCACATGCAGTATAACAGCCAGGACAGTGGCATTGATAGAGTCAAGGTACAGAACAATTCAATCACAAGGATCTCTCATGTTGCCCTTTTATAACCATATCTGCTTCTTTCCTACCCCCACCCCCTTCCCAGCAGCCATCAATATGTTCTCCGTTTATTGGAACGTTTATTGTTGTTGAGAATGCAAAATGGTACAGCCATTGTGGAAAACAGTATGGGGTACCTCAAAAAACTAAAAACTACCTTACGACTTAGCAATTCTATCTTTAGTAAATACCCAAAAGACTTGAAAGCAGACTCAAAAAAGCAGAGACTCAAACACCCCTGTCCATTGCAGCACTATTCACAATAGCCAAAAAATGGAAACAAGGCATCAACAGATTAATGGATACACAAAATGTAGCACATATATACAATGAAATTCTACTCAGCCAGTAAAAGAAATGAAATTCTGATACATGCTACAGTATGGATGGAGCTTTAAGACATATACTGAGCAAAATAAACCAATCACAAAAGGACAAATATTGTATGACCTCACTTACATAAAAAGACAAGAAAAGGCAAATGTAGAGACCAAAGTTCATTAATGGTTATCTGGGGTGGGAGGGAGGAGGAAAAGGGGGTTAACTGATGGAAAAAAATCACATTAAGGGCTGCACAGCTGATTATTGTAATTGCTGCCAATAAGTTGTACACTTGTATCCTTGGTTTAAGGTTTAGGATCATGGTTTCATGTGACATCCCAGTCAGCTGCCCTAATAATTTGTTTTAGTGCTTCTGTTCTACCTCCTAGTTCATTGTATAGTGCCTGGGGTCCTAAAAGCTTGCAAGAAGCCATCCAGGGCACAACAATTGATCTCTATTTACCTATAGCAACAGAGGAGGGAGAACCAGGAACAGGAGGAGGATATGGGATGTGTGACCACAAGACCAGAAGAACTGGATGGTGTCTAACTACTATTACAGAACATTTTGATTAAAGATTCCATGGGGAGCGGGGGGGACTGATCAAGAGGGGTAAAATACAGAACAGAATTTCAAATTCTCATGGATGGACTCTAGACTTTCTGGAGCCATGGTGGGTGGATAAACCATTGAAACTTTAAACCTTAAACCAAAAATATCTCCTGAAATCATCTTAAAACAGAACAATAGTTTAACTTAACTAGTCAAAAAGAGTTCTGCCTTGACCATTATGCTCTTTTAAGAACTATCTATAAGGAGCTCTTGTGGTGCAGTGCCAAAGGCACTGACTGCTAACCAGAAGGTTGGTGGTTCAAACCCACCAGGCACTCCACGGAAGGAAGACTGGGCAGTCTACTTCCATAAAGATTTACTGCCTCTGAAACCCAATGGAGGTTGCTATGAGTTGGAATTGACTCAGTGGCAGTGGTGGAGTTTTTGTTTTTTGTTTTGTTTTTGTTTTTGTTTTTTTGGTATGGGATCAAGAAGCACTGGTAAAGGCATTCAGCTGCTAACCAAAAGATTGGTGGTTCAAACCCACCAGCTGCTCTATAGGAGGAACATGAAGCAGTCTGCTTCTGTAAATATTTACAGCCTTGGAAACCCTCTGGGGCTGTTGTATTCATGGGTCAGAATCAGCTTGATGGCAGTGGATTTTTTTGGTTTATATGGGATCAAATGCTTGCTGAAAGTGAGGATGACTTAAGGCACCTACTGATGAAGGTTAAAGAATACAGTCTGCAGTATGGATTACGTTTCAATATAAAGAAAACAAAAATCCTCACAACTGGACCAATGAGCAGCATCACAATAAATGGAGAGAAGATTGAGGTTGTCAAGGAATTCATGTTGCTTGGTTCTACAATTGATGCCAATGGAAGCAGCAGTCAGGACATTAGACGATGTGTAGCATTGGGAAAGTCAACTGCGAAGGAACTGTTTCAAGTGCTGAGGAGCAAGGATATCTCATTGAGAACTAAGGTACGCCTGACACAAGCCATGATATTTCCAATCGCCTGGTATGCATGTGAGAGCTGGACAATGAATAAGGAAGACCGAAGAAGAGTTGATGCTTTTGAGTTGTGGTGCTGGCGAAGAATGCTGAGAGTACCATGGACTGCTAAAAGAACTAACAGATCTGTCCTGGAGGAAGTGCAGCCAGAATGCTCCTTGGAAGCAAGAATGGCCAGACTTTGTCTCACCTATTTTGGTCATGTTGTCAGAAGGGACCATTCCCTGGAGAAGGATGTCATGCTTGGTAGGGTGGAGGGTCGACGAAAGAGGGGGAGGCCTTCAAGGAGATGAATTGATACAGTGGCTGCGATGATGGGCTCAAGTATAGCAGGGATTGTGGGGTTGGTGCGGGATCAGGCAATGTTTCGTTCTGCTGTGCATGGGGTCGCTATGAGTTGGAAACAACTCGACGGCACTTAACAACAACAACAACATGGGATCAAACTGACAATAGCAACTCAAAAGATCAGATGGGAACTATAAGGGACAGTGAGTTTATATTAATGAGGGAAGAACAACGCAGAACAGGAAGGTGAGAATGGTTGCACAGCTGTAATCAATGTCACTAAATTCTACCTGTAGAAATTTGAATTAGTATATTTTTTTTGCTGTGTATATTCTCAACAAGGAGCTCTGGTGGCATAGTGCCTAAGGCATTTGACTGCTAACTGGAAGGCTGGCGGTTCAAACCCATCAGCCACTCCTCAGAAGGCAGATGGGGCAATCTACTTCCAAAGTGATACTGCCTTGGAAACCCAAGGAGGGGTCGCTATGAGTCAAAATCAACTCGACGGCATATTACAACAATACAACAATATTCTCAACAACAGGAAGAAATGTGTTCTCTATTTCTATAATTTTGCTATTTCAAGAATATTATATATGTAATCAGAGTGTAACCTTTTGGCATTTTCACTCAGCATAATTCCAGGTTGTTGTAGTTCATTCCTTTTTATTGCTGAGTAATATTCCTATTGAAGGGCATCTGGGTTGTTTCTAGTTTTTTACTATTATGGATAAAGTTTTTACAAACATTTGTGTATAGGTCTTTGTGTGAACATAAATTTTCATTTCTCTGGGATAAATGTCCACCAGTACAATTGCTAGATTATATTGTCATTACAAAGGAGCTCTGGTAGTACAGTGATTAAAGCATTTGCCTGTTAACCAAAAGGTCAGTGGTTCAAACCCACCAGCCACTCTGTGGGAAAAAGATGAGGCACTCTGCTTCCGTGCTTATTCACAGCCTTGGAAATCCTATGGGGTGGTTCTACTTTGTCCTATAGGATTGTTATGAGTTGGAATTGACTCAATGGCAATGGGTGGGTTAATTGTAGTTACATGTTTAATTTCTTAAGAAACTGCCAGACTGTTTACCAGAGCTTCTGTACCCACAAGGAATGTATGAGTGATCCAGTTTCTCTACAACCTCACCAGCATTTGGCATTGTCCCTTTTATTTTAGCCACTATGATAGGTATGCAGTGATAATCTCATTGTAGTTTTAAGTTGCATTTACACATGGAATCTTCATGAGTTGTAATCAACTCAGTGGCAGCTAACAATGGCTAACCATGTTTTTAACATCTTTTCAAGTACCTATTTGTCACCCTGTGTACCCTGACAGCACAATGATTAAAGTGCTTGCCTGTGAGCCAGAAGATCTGCAGTTCAAATCCACCAGCGGATCCGCGAGAGAATAGACTTGGTGAC